ATGCTAGGGGATGGAGACCTTTGTTTGCAGCCGGTTGGACCCTACTACACATGACCAAACCCTTCCTCTCCACCGGGCTGTCTTGGTTGCTTCGATTATGGCAGGATACCCCATAAATATGGGGAACGTGATGTCCCGCATTATCTCACTAGTGGGAGCAGAGCATGACCGGAACTACCCTTTCCCGAGTACCCTCACTACGTACTTTCGGGACTTGGAGGTGGACAAGAAGCCCTATGACGCCAAGGTCGAGGCGACAGCCCCGTTCTCCTGGTACAACATGAAGGGGAATGACAACCCCAAGGACAAGAACTACAAAGCCCCTACTTCTGCCCCAACTGGCCAGTCTGAAGAGCAGTTGTGGTAGAGGTCCCTACTGAGCCTACCTCCATTTCTGCTGATATGCCTCTTGGACCTTCCACTTCTGCGGCCATTCCTCTTGGCCTTTCCACATCAGCAGGCCCGGAGATTCCATCTAGCCGAGCCCACTCCATCACTGCCCACCGACTGAGCCAGGCCCTTACCAGTATCAACAACTGGATGTCCACTGCGTCATCTAAGTTGTCCACATTAAGTGCTACTGTAGCAGCTCAGTCAGCTCCACCAGCCCCACTGGTACCCCAATCAATCGAGGATGCGCTCAAAGAGATACTTGAGAACCAGAAGAAGATCCTCAGCAGGCAGGCTGCGCTTACAAAGGTAGTGGATTCACATAGCAAGGCTCTCAAGGAGCTTGCTAAGCAGCATAGGAAGTTGCGGAAGACACGGGCCTCAAAGGAGTCCGTGAAGGAGCTGCGGGCAGATGTTGATAGATTGAAGGCAGACCAGCTGCCTTTGAACCTGTTGCTTGATGATCCAGTCCCAGCAGCTCATCCACAGCCGGAGCAGACCCAGAGGCCTCCGAAGAGGAGGAGGACGATCCCTAGAGCAGATGATGCCATCATCTATTTGGCGGACCCACCGGAGACCTCCTCCAGTCAGCCACAGGATGTACCAGTTTCACAGCCTGTCGAGGTCCAGGCCCAGGTCCCAGTAGCAGCAGAGCAGACCACCGGGAGCCAGTCTGAGGTTCCCGAGCACACAGAGGACCCAGGGACCACCAATGATCCGATACAGACAGACACGGCTTAGGGAGCCCTCTATATCCTTTTTCTCTCTTTTTGGTGCTTATTTGGATTAGTTGGCATTGAGAACAATGCCAGCTTTTATTCGAGGGGGTGCGCCCTTCATTTTTGTTTTTGGATGACTGTATATATTGATACCATTTTATGCTTTCTTGATTTTAATTTGGTCTATATATAATTTTATATTTAGTTACTTTTATCGCACTTTTTATCTTTCCTTTGGTCTGTATATAAAGTTACATTTCATTGTATATATTCATCCCATCTATTGTATATTCAAATCCCCTCTTGTATATATTTATTCTATTTTCCGCAAAATTTTTCATTTTTAGCTTCTTATTTTTGATTCGTAGCTTCTTCTTTTTGAAATTAGCAATAAGCCTTTGATTTTCTTAATGCCACGGTTCTTTCCAAAGGTGGAGGGTTGTGTGAACCGGGTGGCTCTTCCCAATGATAGATGGCGTGACAACCTTCTTAAGGGTTTGAGTCCGTTTTTCTTTTTCTTTTTTTGTTTTTAGTAGTTTGTAATTAAGGGTACCTCAAGCAATAGTTAAGGATACCTCAAGCAAAGCTTCACTTGGGCCTAGCACATTTGCCTTTGATCTTATGCTCAAAAACAAATTGTTGTGTTTAGGATGGTGAAAGTCGTGGCCTTGAGACTCTTGTGTTGACCGATAATCATCAAGTGGTTTTTCGGGACCATTGTGTGCTCAAATCGTATCTAAGGTCGTTGTGGGCCCCCGACTCTATGTCTTTAGCAATCCCTTAGCTTGTGTGGTGAGTAATTGAATTGCAAGTCCAAGTCCCGGGCCATTGGTCTAGAACTTGCCCTGAATGTTTGTTGAGGCGAAATCCTAAGTGAATTTTGACTTGAGGCGTGACTATAGGCTCTCCTTGATCCAAATGATAGATTGAACAATTCCATAGCCTACCCATGATAAGATCCCTAGTCAACCCTTTTGAGCCTTAGATCTTTTTCTTTCAAGAACCATGATACAAGCCTATACCCGTTCTAAAAGATACCCTCTCTTGGCACCCAAATCTTTCCTTTAGCACATGGCAAAAGTATTAGTTTTGGGGAGAGACGAAGATTGCAACAAAGTGTTAAAAAGGCACAAAAGTGAAGAAAAGGAAAGGCAATAAAAAAGAAAGAAAAGCAAAAAAAAAGACAGAAAGAAAGTTCAATGTGAAAAAAATGAAAAAAGGATTCAAAGAAAAGCAAAGTATGAAAGGTGTGGAAAGTTGAAAAAGGAAAAAAGGTTTGAAATGCATAAAAAAGAGTGACAATGAGTCTCTCTAACCCCTTAGAAAGAAGTGAAATGACTCAAAGAGTCAAGTGAGTTGTGCCAAATGAATCAAAAGAAGTGCTTAAGGGAAGATGGAACCCACTTGAACAAAAACATGACCTACCCTAAACCAAAAGCCTTCACAATGACTCCACAAAAGCCCTATATGATCTTGAGTTGAATGAAGCTTACATTAGTGGATACTTACATAAAGGGAAAGCATATGGTACCTAGAGCCGGACTTGTGATCTTTCCTTGAGAGAGATGAGTGAATTCCCATTAACCTCGTTTTGTGTGCCACTATTCTAAAGGTGAGGTTTGCTTAGGGAGAGTTGAGGATGTGTGAGTTTGGGTTCCACAATAACTAAAGTAATTGAAAGAGTTCTTTGATGTGTTGAGTCAACTCTTGATGCTCCTGTGTCACACTTGATCCATGGTTTTTCAAAGGTTAAATGTTGTTAATGATTCATTTGTATTGAGGGCAATTGTTAGTCCCAATTGATACTAGTTGAGGTTACTTTAGGATAGCTGAAAATTCTTGGATTTTCCCTCAAGGGGTGGGTCTTATTTTGTTTGCTTGAGGACAAGCAAAAGCTTAAGTTTCATGCTCCTTCTTGCTTACGCTTTGATTATAAATTCTTACAAAATAGTCCCAAAAGGCTCATAAGTTGTGCTTGATTGCAGGTTTGATCAACAAAGTGAGGAGATGTCAAAGATCGGCTCAAAAGGAGTGAAACCTGCACAAGTACCAAAGACAAGACAAATCAGGACAAACAGGCCTAGTGCGGCCGCACTACACTTTGTGCGGTCCGCACTAGGGAGATTCAGAGACCTGGATTTTAAGGCATCAAAGCAGTGCGGACGCAGTAGATATTGTGCGGCCCGCACTGAAGACACCGCGGCCGCACTACCATTTTATGCGGTCCGCGGAAGCAAACTTCAGAGAGATGTCAAGTGCCAAGGTTCAAGCCTGTGCGGTCCGCGGTCGTGTTTGTGCGGACCGCGCTAGATGCCTCCGCGGCCGCAGTCCATTCTGTGCGGTCCGCGGAGCCTGGGTTCAGAGAGTTGATTTTTCAGAGTCAAGAGCCTAGTGCGGCCGCACACCATTTTGTGCGGTCCGCACTGACCCCGCAGGGGCATTTTTGTCCAGTTTTTCCAGCTTAGTATAAATAGAATATTTTTCCATTTTTAGGGCATCAGATATTTTAGCATTGTAGCTGCGCTCGTGAGAAGACCTTTCTTAGCCATTTTTGGCACTTTTGCTTAGTTTAAATCATTAAATCTTTGTATCTACTTTAGTAATTAATTAATATGTCTTTCTCTTCATCTATTTCTCTGATTTTATCTTCAAGCATGAGTAGCTAAACCCATTAGCTAGGGTTGTGGCTCAACCCTAGTGTGAGTAATTGATGGGTGTTGTGATTTAAGGTTAGATTGATTATGGGTGTTTGTTATTTGGGTCAATTTTATGGTTTAATTTATGAATTAGTGGTTGCAACTAGTTTGTGCTAAGTTGACCTAGGCTCTTCTTGAGAAAGAGAGCCTAAGTCTCCAAAATTGACTCAACAAGGAATTGGGATGGACTCAAGAGATTTGATAGTCCCAATTAAAGGATTAAACCTCGAGAGAGTAAATACCCGACTTGAACCCTAGTTGTTTGGGCAAATATGCATACCCAATTAGTCTCGAGAGATTCAATTGGGCAAAACCACTCTTTCTACCGAGAGGTGTAGAGTGGGTAGTATCGAGCAACGGTTATAACATATTTTCCCAATCATGTCAATCGTGCCTTAGATGCAATTACCCGTCAATTAGCCACCTAGGTGAAGGTCACTACCCTAGTGCCTTTTAAATCATTAGATACAACTTGTAGCAATTTATCTCTTAGCTTAATCTAATTGCATTTTCAATTTGTAGTTTGATCATAGTAGAATATAACAAAAACCCAAAAATGAATAGAAGACCAATTAAGAGCATACACGCAATCCTAAGCTAAATAGATACTCGACTCCAATCCTAGCTCTCTGTGGATTCGATCCCGACCCACAAATCGGGTAAAAACTATTGCGACCCTCTCTCGCTACTTTTTAGTGGTGCGGAGTTGGCAGCGATCAATTAGCAAATATCGTGTAAGACAAAATTTACCCTCCCTCTTGTGTCTAGGTGCAAGTACAAAAAATACTCTCTCCGTTTCAATTTAGATGAGATAGTTTGACTGGGCACGGAGTTTAAGAGAAAAAAGAGACTTTTAAAACTTGTGGTCTTAAAAACTTAAGGGGTAAAATCTTTGTAGGGTCATAACATATGTGTTGTTACAAAAAGCTTCTCATTAAGAGTAATGGGTAAAATTAAAAGTTTAAAGTTGAATTATTTTATTTATAGAAAAGTGTCATTTTCTTTAACAGACTAATAAAAAAAGTGTGTCATCTAAATTGATACGAAGGGAGTAGTTATTTTATTATTATACTAAATCTTTATAGTATTTAAAAAAGGAGGGAAGTCCAATGAAATTTTGCCACGTGGCAAGATTCCCTGCACTTTCACAACGTCCATACATTCATAGCACTCACGCATTTAACTTTTGACAGGCACACACAGATAGATATACAGAAATTCACTCAAACACAGACTGTCGGTTTACCAATTCTCAGAGAGCACACTCGCCGGCAGATCCCACTTTTCACTCACAGCTGAACTCACACACAACACACACACACACTGAAAGAGGTCCCTCAGCCGCCGTCCAAACACCAGAGCACACCTCATTTTTACACATTATAGCTCACACAGATCATACACAGAGAGCCAACAAGTCCACTGTCCGCCGCCCAGCTTCACCACTTTACGCCCAAAAGTGCCATAATCACTTTGCAATTTCAGTTTGTTAAGCTTCGGCCAGTTCCAAACTTCGGAGTTTTCTGTTTTTATCAAAAACTGCTGAAAGCTTAAAGGTCCATCGTCTCTAAATTGAATCTTCTCATTTCCTGGTTTTATGATTCCTTGAAGCTCTTAAATTTATGTTTGTTTGTTCTAATTGGCCGTCCAAGTTAACTCTGCTTTCAAGTGCCATTTGCTATAATTATTACCGACTACGTGTGGGCCGGGTGGCAGGGCTGAAAATTGGATCAAATGTACACATAATATTCGAAAAAGGCCTAAAAATACTACTCAACTAATATAAATGGCCTATCTATGCCATCCGTTAAAAGGTCGCCCTGTTCATGCCACTAACGTTATACTTTTGGCCTATTTATGTCATTGTCTTCCATTTTCTAATTTTTAAATAATAAGAATTAATTTTTCGACCCCACCTTTGCCACGTGTCTTTATATTACTAGTTCTTCTTTACTTGACCCTACATATCTTTTAACCCTGTATAATTAACTATGCCCAACCCGATAAAATTTAACCATCTTTTAACCCAACCCCTAATTCCTTGTTACGGCCCGATAAGATCAGTTTTCAGTGATTTGTATTTATTTGAAACTGATGTTGTGTTTATTTCAATTCAGTTTGTAAAAATCTAAATCTTAGAAGCTCATGATTTGTATTACCAGTCCTTGAGAAAAGTATTAAGGTTCAGTTATTTTATCATTTATAAATCTCATTAAATTTGATAGTTGTTAATTGGTTTACCTAACGGGTTGGGTTAGGTGTCATCACGACTAGTTAGATTTTGGGTCGTGACAAGGAATTAGAGGTTGGGTTAAAAGATGGTTGGATTTTATCGGATTGGGCATGGTTAATTATACATAATCAGGGTTAAAAGAAATGTAGGGTCAAGTAAAAAAGAACCGGTAATATAAAGACACGTGGCAAAGGTGGGGTCGAAAAATTAATTCTTATTATTTAAAAATCAAAAAATGGAACTGTTAGTGGACAATGGCATAAATAGGCCAAAAGTATAACGTTAGTGGCATGAATAGGGTAATCTTTTAACGGATGGCATAGATAGGACATTTATGTTAGTTGAGTGGCATTTTTAGGCCTTTTCCGTATAATATTTAATGATTAGCCTGAACTTATGTTATCGTGAAATTTTAAACTAAAAATCTTAAATTCAGGACAATTCAATATATTTTTGTCCCAAAAAATTAAACTAAATAATTAAAATTCAAAACCCACTCGCTAATTCCTAAATTTTCATTTCTACCCGAAAATTGAAGGCATGATTTTGGTCCTATGTCACTAAATGTCAAAACATTTGGGCTTTTAATGGTTTCTTCTTCTTCTTCATGTGATAGTGATTTTATATGGTGTTTGTGAATATATTTTAAGGTAGTTTATAACGTTTTAGAGTGATGAGTTGCTGTGACGCTTTATTTTTACTATTGCTTAGGATTTCTTCTTCTTATTTTTCATAATTGCAAAATAAGTACATTAGATTTATTGTTGTTTTGACAAATTGATGATTGAGGGTTGTTCTTGATAATATTTGGATGTTATGTTTCAAATTTGAGCTCATTTATAGTAGATTTAGGTGTTAAATCGTATATTGAATTGTCAAAATTCGAAGAACAAATTTCTGTCTCTGGGCAATTTGCACTTCAGGCCTATTTGGCCTTAAATACATCAAAACCTTACTTGTACTTCAGACCTATTTGGCCTTAAGTGCATCTGAAGTGTAATTTTTTCACTTTGGACTTGTTGGCTTAAGTGCATGAAATCATTGGTTGCACTTCAGGCCTATTCGCCTTAAGTACATCTGAAATGCAATTTTTTCACTTCAAACTTATTGGCCTTAAGTGTATTGCACTTCAGACTAACTTAGTTTTAACTTAAAACCCGATAAGTCTAAAGTTGATCGTAAAGTGGGTATAGGCTTGCAAATTTTTTGCAAAATAGGTATAGCTTCAATTCTAATCCTAAAAATCGGGTATTGATACAAAAGCCCCAACTTGGAATATCATCGGGGTTTATAGGCAAACTTTAGGTCCATTTGATTGTTTGTGTTTTTACTTGCTTTCGAAATTTCATGTATTCATTTTCGAAAATGTCCCAAGTATATATATCTTAATAAAAGCGGCCATTCATGGACAATATCATAGTATGTGATAGATCAAGATTCTTTTCCTTTATTTTCATTTGGGTTATAATAACAATTTTGAACCTAACGTGCACATGCATTCTAGTTTTTGGTTTCAATCAAGTTATTTTCGTGAATTTGTTTAATGTTCCTCCTAAGGTGGAAGCTATCCACCTTATTAGGAGGTTGGTGAAACAGTACAGGGATAGAAAGAAGTATATGATCATGGTATTTATTGACCTGAAGAAGCGTATGACAAGGTACCTAGGGAGGTTCTGTGGAGATGCCTGGAGGCGAAAGGTGTGTCGGTTGCTTACATTAGGGCGATTAAAGACATGTATGATAGAGCTAAGGTGCGGGTTAGGACGTTGGGAGGCGATTCGGAGCATTTTTCGGTTTATGGGGCTGCACCAAGTATCTGCACTTAGCCCATTTTTATTTGCCCTAGTGATGGACGCACTGACGCACCATATTCAAGGGGAGGTGCCATGGTGTATGTTATTCGCTGACGACATAGTTCTGATTGATGAGACGCGAGGCGGCGTTAACGAGAGGCTGGAGGTTTGGAGACAGACCCTTGAGTCTAAGGGTTTCAAGGTTAGCGGGACTGAGACAGAATACCTAGAGTGCAAGTTCAGTGCCGAGTCGAGGGAAGTGGGCGTGGACGTGACGCTTGACTCATAGGTCATCCTCAAGAGAAGCAGTTTCAAGTACCTTGGGCTGGTTATACAAGGGGATGGGGAGATCGACGAAGATATCGCGCACCGTATAGGGGTGGGGTGGATGAAGTGGAGGTTAGGATCTGGAGTCCTATGTGACAAGAAGGTGTCGATGAGGCTCAAAGGTAAGTTCTATAGCGGTGGTTAGACCAGCCATGTTGTGTGGGGCAGAGTGTTGGCCAGGTAAGAACTCGCATATCTAGAAGATGAAAGTAGCAGAAATAAGGATGTTGAGGTGGATGTGCGGGCACACTAGGATGGATAAGATTAGGAATGAAGATATCTGGGAGAAGGTGGGCATGATCCTGATGGATGACAAGATCCGGGAAGCTATGCTCAGATGGTTCGGGCACGTGCGGAGGAGAAGTCCAAACGCCCCAGTAAGGAGATGTGAGCGATTGGCTTTGACAAGTATGATAAGGGGTAGAGGGCGGCCCTAGTTGGGGAGAGGTGATCAGGCAGGACATGGCGAGGCTTCAGATTTCTGAGGACATGGCCCTTGATAGGAATGTGTGGAGGTCTAGCACTAGGGTTGTAGGATAGGGGGTAGCGGAGCTCTTTGCTACTCCGTATCGGGTGAGAGGCTAGTCTGACAGGGTTGTGTCCTAGAGTGGTAGTGGTTATTATTGTATCCACACTTATCTTTCAGTTTTCATAGTACTGAGCCTTTCTTACGTGTTACTGTTATCGTTATCGTTTTTCATCTATTTTCTGGTACTTACGGTTCTGTTAGTATTTCTATGTTTTCTATTGTCGGTACTGATTTATTGTCTTTTTTGTCTGCTTGAGTCGAGGATCTATCGGAAACAGCCTCTCTATCCTTTAGGATAGGAATAAGATCTGCGTACACAAACCCTTCCCAGATCCCACTTGTATAATTTTACTGGGTGGCGGTTATTGTTGTTCATCTAACACATTGAGGGGTGTCTAACATTTGAAGGGGTGCCTAACAAATCTTTTTCTACTTTATGGGGGTGTGACTGTGACATCTAATATTATTAGTATTAGTTAGATCTTTTAGTTTGACCGCTCATAGTGGTTTTCTTCCGCATGAGGTTTGTTAGGAACATACATTTTCAAACTGGATTATTAATGTTGTGTAATCTGTTGAACATATATCTTTTCCGTTTCAGTAATAGCCTTTTCTTTTATCTAAAAGAAGAATCTGATCCCTTTTTTTTTTCTTCCCTTCCCTTTTTCTTTTTTTGAAAATAATGTACGTGTCAATATGCAAAGTGGTGTGGGCAAGTGGTAAGACTCACGTCGCGAGAGAATGAGATGCCTAGTTGCAAACTTGAGCGACCGCCACGTATCTTGCCGCTATCGTCTTATAACTTTGTGCTGTCAACATCTCTGTTGCTTGCTAACAAGTTAAGAAACTGCTACTACTATTCTTTTGTCCTCATTCAATCACTTCTCGCTGGTTGCGCAGACAACACAAACTTATAAGATCTATCAGAAGACTTCTTTGTGCTGTTCTCTAGCCTAGTTGCCCTTTCTTACTAAAGTTTCTTTTGTCTGCAGCAGAAATCATGGGTAAATTCTTGACTGTAATGACTCAACTTCATACTCTTGCTGGGTAATTTTCCTTCTCATTTTCATTTTGTTCTTTCCCTTTCATGTGAAGCTTTAACTTCGTTCTGATTTTAATTTTGAAACGAACTCCATGCAGGCCAGTGGTGATGTTGCTCTATCCTCTGTAAGTATTGATCCTTTCTTTAATGGTCTAAATGAGCACTCTCTGTATAATTAATGCTTTTGTTTCACTTTTCCTTGTTCTTAAGAGTGATCGATCAGTTAAACATTTTTGTTTCGTATGAAGATATGCATCTGTGGTGGCAATAGAGAGCACATCGAAGCTGGATGATGAGCAATGGCTTGCTTATTGGATTCTCTATTCTTTTCTCACTCTCATGGAGATGGTCCTTCAGCCCGTGCTTCAATGGTTTGCAACGTCTTAATTCTTAACCTCCCCCACCCCAAGCAAAGAAAAAGAACAATGTAAATTCTTTTGTAAACGTGGGTTGAATATTTATGTTGTAGGATACCAATTTGGTATGATGTGAAGTTGGCGGTAGTGGCATGGTTGGTACTTCCACAGTTCAGAGGAGCTGCTTTTATCTATGAGAAGTTTGTTAGGGAAAAGCTCGTCAACAAATATGGAGCTTCATATTTCAGAGACAAGTCTCCCTCTCCAGCCAAGGTGATTGTCCTTTTTTTTTCCCCTTTGTTTCTCATAAATAGGTTATATATATAGTTTCGTTTATCTTTTAATTGTGGTAGTTAAAGGTATTACCTTTAGTATATTAAACTAAATTATTACAGTTCACTTGCGCGTTCATTTATTGCATTTCACAAAAAATACAATATTGTACCGTATTTTCATAGCAATCTTTTTGAGATAGAATAATATACCCATGAATATTTCTGATACCAAGTCAGTAAGTTGATTCTAATTTATCTTCTTTTTTTAATTGGTTTCTGGGACAGGTGGAGCGTGAAACCCAGTGAGGATCGAGGAGGTGTAGGATTAATCTACAGATGTGAAAGCTTTCCTCTTTCGTTTTCTAATCAGCGAAGGATTACACTGTATTTTAGTGCTGTAGATCACATGAGCATTGGTGCTGATTATGTGGATGTCGTGAATGTTTATCATCACTTTAATATATACAATCTGTTTGCTTGTTAACGGAAGTCCCCATTTCTTCCAATTATTTGGTCAGAGAGATGCATGTCTGGAAGCTTGAAATCCGTTCTCATTAGAACGGAGTAATTGTATATGTCACAAAATGAGTGCATACTGCATATGAAAAGCGGATGCGATTACGCCAGAAAAACCGACTTATGTTAGAGCTAAAAAGCTTTTTTCCTTTGTGTTGTAAATCTCCAATAGAGAGGAATATTCTTATTGGAGAATTAGAAAACCTCCAAAGACGCAAAGGAACAGTTGATTGAAGCCTTCTTCTGTAAAACGAATCAAAACATGCCTAAGATCTGCTCTTCCATGCCTTTTTAGAGTGAAATACTGTCAGGGCAAGCTATTCAGATTTACTATTGCGAAGCATAACATGTATGCAAAAATATATGTAAGAGTGATGAACTAATTAAACTTTCAATGAACTTAGTGCTGAAGATTGAAATTATTTAGTTAAATGAAAATTCTGAATTTGCTTTTTACGGCTCGTGATTCGCCTTTGAATGTAGAGAACATGCAATGTTCATGATTCATGAGCAGAAGCATGCCAAGAGAATTAATTTAAGCTTTCTCATCTGTTTCAGTGAAAAAGATTACAAGCGGCAAGTTTTAACACTAAAAATGAGGGAGGGGAAAAAGGATTATTATAACTACAAGAAGGAGAGAACAAAGAAGAAAAAAACCTTTGAAGAAAGCCCACAGCGGGGAGACCGTAAATACACAACATAGTACGAGAGACGGAGAAGAGGGAAACCTTAGATTTTCCGTTTGTATAATGTCACAAAAGGAACTTTAGGTGGGTATAATTTGATTTAAGGGCTGAAGCTGTATACGATCGAAATTGGGCTATCCGATTTCGTCCTTCGATGGAGAAAAAGATACCACGTCGAAAGGTCGACGTCGAGTCCGGGATCGAGGTTTTTTCAAGATCGAGGTCGACATCGTTAATCGAGGTCAGAAGAGGCATGCTTCGAACTCATGGCGGTATAAGGCAGTAACGGAAAGAGCGAGATATCTGTTACGGATCGAAGATCGTGGCATGAATCTCGGAACTGATCGGTCTATAGCGCTTCAATATGATTTTCTACTATAATTAGAAGTGTACCTTATTTAGGACTCCCCTACTATATAAAGGGGGATCCCACTCATTTGTAACCATCACTATTTCACTGAGAAGGACATATACTTTCATCGCTTTTTTGCTATTTTTGCTTACTGTTCATCAGAGTTGTTTATTCATCAGAGTTGTTTATTCATTTGCTATTCTTATTATCACACCTCGAGGCTATCACAAGTCGAGGTCGAGATTGGTTTGCATACCAATTTGATCTATTTTATTCTCTAATTATCTATTTAATTCCTTGTTTATCAATTGGTATTGGATTAAATTACATATTTTTAAAATTATAATATAAATTTAATTGTTACTCGAATTTTACTGAACAGAAGCTATTTTGTTTCAACCATTTAGAAAGTTTACATGTTTTATATTCCAATGGATTCATTTTCTAGACTAGTCCCAAACAAAGTTGAGCATGTCACTAGGTTGGACATCGTTATGTACGTTATGCTATGCGCTTAAAGCGGATACTACATTTTTTGTAGGTATTACATCAAGTAGGTAAACTAGTAATCTAAGAAATAACCATTTGAATCATGTACATATAGTTTTGTAGTACTTGAAAAAAGTTATCGTCAATGGACTAAGGTATATATAGAATATAGAAAAAACATACACTACAAATATTTTCACTTCATCGCTAAAATTTGGACTTGCCATACTATAGAGGGCTATCTATATTTTTCCCAACTTGCACGGTAAATTAATAGTGAATCAATCTAACGTGTAGCTATGCGTGTATACTTCAATATGTCTGCAAAAGTCAAAAATTATTTTTAGGTGTCTCGAGTCTTACATCACGACCGTTTTGACTTGGAATACGTGTCGTGTTGCTTCCATGCAGTGGTGACACCGATCTAAATACAACACCGCTTCCCCTTCATTTCTATCTCCATCCAAAGTCCAAACTTTTTGTTTTATTATGAAGGAAAGGATAGCTCATCTATATCTTTCTGTCCTTGTTCTTCTTACCATTGTATGTCCTGTAGTAAATTAAAGGTTTGAGTCCACATATATAGTTTCACTTGTGTCTGAGCAACGCTAGTGCTAAAGCCATAAGCCATAAGCCATGTTGCTGGGTCTAATTCACAAATTTCTCAACTTAGTAGCTCCTCCGTTTACCTTCTTCAGCCTGTTGCTTTTCTTGCCACCTTTCCAATTCTTCAAGTTCTTCCTCTCAATTTTGGGAACCCTATTTAGCGAAGATGTCGCTGGAAAGGTCGTCATCATCACCGGCGCTTCCTCCGGCATAGGCGAGGTTATTTTCAAGCATTTTAGTGCTGAATATTCATTATATTTCTACTACCAAAACATTAATTTTTAGTAAATTATGTATGTCATTTAGTTCGCGGTCTATTTAGTACTCCTATTATGTTAATTGACACAGGGCAGGAAAATTGTTTATTGGATGAATATGCGTAATTAAGATGCCTAAATAATACTACTTGGATCGTTAATAGCCTGAGTATTTTAGTATGTTAATTACATACTCTTTCTTGTTCACATATTGCTAATGTATCTATTTTCTCTCTCTACTTCTTTTCACATTCTACTGTAATATTAAAAAAAAAAAAAAAAAAAAAAAAGGTATTAGTAACATAATTTATAGATTTTCGCATAAATTATTTCTGGTAATATGAGTTTGATATCCGCAGAAACCGAACAATGTATTATAAGCTAAACGAATATTAGTTATCCAGTTTATTTTATACATAAATCGAATGATGTATATATAAATAGCTAATAATTTCATAGGAAGATTACCTTTTTGTCATTTTGCAGTATCTGGCCTATGAGTATGCCAAGAGAGGAGCATGTTTAACTCTTGCAGCCAGAAGAGAGGGGAGTTTGAATGAAGTGGCCGAAACGGCACATGAACTAGGCTCTCCAGATGTTATAACAGTTCACGCTGATGTTTCAAAAGTTGATGACTGCAGAAGGATTGTTGATCAAACCATGACTCACTTTGGCCGGTGTAAGATTTGATTAATTCCCGTACTTAATTGTAATTAATTAGAGATTTGAGCATGTACTAATTAGAGATTTTGTTCGTTGCGTTTTGTGTTTGCAGTGGACCACCTGGTTAACAATGCTGGAGTGCACGCAATTACTCTATTTGAAGATACAGAAGATGTCACTGATTTTAGATCTGTCATGGTAAAGTAGAAACTCATGACTATGATATTACAATTTTAAACCACAGATGGTGTAAATAAGAACTTCCATTTTAGAAATTCTGTTATGATTAAAATTCTTTTTACGGGTATTTAATTTCATAAGCTGGACTAGAACAAGAGCTTTGGATCAGGACCAAATTCAAACTTGAAACTTTTCTAGTCAGCTTGCGTTAAGCGTGATGATAGATCTAGTTGCTAGTTTGTCGTGCCTAATAAATGGGGATCTCTCTTATATGCACTGATAGTATAATAAATACGTGAAGGGTCGGTTAGTTGCCTTATTTTTGAGATACTGATTTCCATTACCCGATATTATGATAAATTTTGTTGTTTCGGTGTGTAGAAATTAAACTCAAAACTGTGTACTTGTCATGGTATTTTGCAGGACATCAACTTCTGGGGTTCTGTTTATATGACCCGATTTGCGATCCCTTATCTTAGATATAGTGGAGGTAGGATTATTGTGCTTTCTTCATCTGCTTCTTGGCTGCCTGCTCCAAGATCAAGCTTTTACAATGTAAGTACCAACTCTATCTGCTTTTATTGTTTCCTTTATGGGAATGGTAATAGTTGATACCGACCGGTGACCACCCCACACCAAATATAGGCAAGCAAAGCAGCAATATCTCAATTCTTTGAGACATTAAGGATTGAGTTGGGGCAGGACATCAAGATTACTCTGGTAACACCTGGCTTTGTTGAATCTGAACTCACGCAAGGCAAATACATTGGTAAGAGTGGCGATGTAGAGGTTGATCAAGGAATGAGGGATGTAAGTTTTCCTCTTTGTTACCTTTTTTGCCTAGTTTGTACATTTTAACGTGCGATGGTTATTAAGTAGCTTTACCGGGAGTAGTAAATCTTATTTGGTGAACTAGACAAAGGTGGTAAAGGACCGTCTTAGTCGGCCATGCATCTATGAAATGTTGACGGTGTAAAAATTATTTACATGGTGATTAATACATGTAATTAGTTAATTACACCTTCTAAAAGACAGGTCTATTACGAGTGTATTTATTTATTTAAGTTTTCCTTTTTGCAGCAAGCAATGATAGTAGAGTGGATGATGATAATTTGTCAAATCCATTTTAAATATGAATTAGACTAAATGATAGTAGTAGCTAAAGCAGTCACAGAAAAAAGGCAGAGCAGGGAGCATGTTTCTTTAGTTATGTATTGGTTTAATAACTTATTTGGTAAAGATTAATGTTCCATCATTTGCCTTTGCAAAGAGTTACGTTTTACTCCTTTTCAGCGATGTGTTGACAAGAAAGTGAATGTTTGAACCTATAGGTACTAATAAGCGCGACTCCGGTGGCCAAGGTCGAATCATGTGCTAAGACAATTGTGAATAGTGCTTGCCGAGGGGAAAGATACGTGACTATACCTGCTTGGTTTAGAGTTAGCTACTTGTGGAAGGTGTTTTGCCCGGAGGTGTTGGAGTGGATGTACAGGTTAATGTATCTGACTGGGTCGGAAACTTCACCGAAGGATGCACTTAGCAAGAAAGTAGCGGATTATACTGGTGCACAAAATGTCTTGTATCCAGAGACTATCAGAAATGCAGATATAAAGACGGACTAATCCTTAGTTCATACAAATGCTTGTATTAGGTTCATGGGCTGTGAAGTGTGTGTTGTACATCTGTTTTTCGGGGCTTTTTGGATCTGTGGTAGCTGTAGTGTAGGTATAAATAAAAAGGATGTTTCAGTTTGTTGCGAAGATTGGTTTGTTTTTTATAGGCGAAGTATATAGACGGGTCTTTTTAAGTTGTCTAAGACGATGTGAAATGTGACCTCGTGGATCGTGGATGCCCTAGTCTAACAGATTAGAAGTGTGAAATACAATCGCAAAATCACGCTGACGATAACACGTGTATTTGAAAAGAAAAAAAATAAGAAAATAGCTTGTGTCTTCTTCCCAACTTTCCCCAAAGCCATTGATGCAATTCTTCCCCTTCTTACTTCCTTCTTCTTATCCAAACAGTTGTAGAGCCGATTTACATCTATGAAAGTTCCTTCGTTGTGAGGAGCCTTTTATTTCTTCATAGTATAGCAAGCATCTTTTACCATTCACGCACTCTCTGCCTTGTCATTGAACTTTGCCTTCTTTCGCTCATAATCCTTCACAGCCGCCTTAATTGCATCCTCAACAAACATACTGGAGTGCAGTTTAACAGGTGGAAGGAAGATATGCTTCGGTTTTTTCGTATTCTTTACGGATTTCTCTCCATCTAACCAATTAGTTGCTAGAGTAGGAGCAATAGCAGAGCCACAACCTCTAAAGGAAACAAGCATCCGTATTTTTCTGTTTTATCATCGATCTTTCTAAAGTTAAGGCAGCAGATCGGTCGGCTGCGGGACGGGGACGGGGCCGGGAGCAGCAGTAGGAGAAGCGGAGCTGGAGCTCCGACAAGACCCGTACCGATGGTGAGATCCAATATTTTGTGGATTATTGTAATGGTCCACCACTTTTTCATGCTATAGTCGCGGCTAACATGTCTCGACTCACGGATGAACGTTGCCCTAGCCCGAAAATTCGATTTCCGACTTGCCGCAACATCTTTGTGATTTGCTCTAATTGATTGAATTTGCGAATTGAAGTGATAACGTCTGCATCTCCTAAAAAGGAGATCGTCCACTTCGCCAATATACTCTGCAGCACACTCATTTTGCCGGCAGCGACTCCATCATCCACCAAGACTGCTCCGTTTGAACAAAATAAGGTGAATTAAGAAATGAAAAAAAAGGTGGAAAAGATTAATTTTGAGGGTTTCACGCGCTCAAATATGAATAAAAAGCACGCACTTTGCCATGTCAGCGTGAGAGGTTCACGATGTCACATTTCTGTTGAGAAAAAAATGTCTTAATTGTAATAACACTATAAGAAAATCACAAATTATATGGGGATTTTCCTAACGGTTATATAAGAAAATTCCCAGGTAATTTAGTTTCTTGCGGATTTTTCTTCAAACAAAAATCCGATGAAAAAAGCTTCATGAGTAGTTATTACCTGCGAAACTTAAAATTCCCAGGTAAATTACCTCGGGATTTTGAATTTGCATATACATTACTTGGGGATTTTTTCGTAAGAATTCTAAAAATTCGCATGAAATTTTCGATAAAAAATCATGAAAAGGGGAATTTTTCTTGCGAATCTTCATAGGAAATATCTGCCAGTAATTCCCCATGAAAATTCTCAAGTAAAATATGCATGAACTTCTAGACAAAAAATTAAAATTGTTGGTTATTATGTTTCTATTATCGAATTTATTACCGTAGTACTTTTATGGCAAACCTCCATACATATAATTTTTCATATTTTCATTATACATATATCATGTAGGAATATATACAACCACCCACTAACTAGACGTAACTTTAATATTTATTTTTAACTTTAATGTTTCTAAATGAACAACAATTACTTACCTGCTTTAAACCTATCTAAACCATAATTATCTGATCTACTTTTAATTTTATTAAATTACAAAGAAAGCACACGATCTTGAAAGGCAACTACAATTAGCCACAGTGGTTTCCTCTCAGTTTTCTTTTTACTGGGAGTACTATTATTTTCCTCTTATTTTTTTATTTTATTTTTTAAGAAGGTTGTATTAAATGATGATACCAAAAAGTAAATGAAAGTTCTTTTCAAGTAAAAGTAAGTGAACAAAATTACGAGTATATTACTTTTAATTAAAAATATTGTTTGTTATATTTCCAAAATTTTTGTTTATATACAGTGGAATAGCACATTAGATTTTTTTCTTATATAAAAAATACATAAACTAACAAGAAATAAACACATCATATATGATTACGTAATTGGAAAAAAATTGTTACGCTAATTCTGGCAATATATACAAGATTAAGTTACTTCAATAATATTAAGTTAATTAAGAGATGATGTTTGCAGGTAAAATCATAAAATCGCTTGATACCTAATTAACTTTTAAAACTAAAATATACAAACTAATATTGCTTAAATACTATAATTTAGTTTCATCATGTTAAATAAATGTGAAAAAATAATATATGTAGGAGATATAACGTTAAATAAACTAGTTATGTTTGTACATGTAACTTAAGTTTTATCATATCATTAGATTTCATAGGATCACCATTTTAATATATTTATATAAATTGACAAAATATATAATAGACAACATCAATAGTGAATAATATTTTTTTTTTTACAAATCATTAGTTTTTGTAATTTTTAAAAAGATATAATGTTGGAAATTCACAATCGCAACATATGCCCAGATAAATCCCAAGAAAATATCTTTTCATCTAGACATACAATAATAAAACTTCAAATAATAAACTTCCCGGGCAAATTTTCAAGAAATAATCCCAAGTTAAAATTGCAACAACAAAATTCTCAAGTATTTTTCTATGTAATAAGACTTTCAAGTAAATCCCTAGAAAAAAAAACCTTCAGCTAAATTGCAACAATAAAACTACCAGGTGATTCCCTAGGTAATAAAATTTTTAGGTAAATTCCCTAGAAATAATTCCCAATTAATATCGCATCAACAAAATTCCCAAGTGATTCCTTAGGCAATCACATCCCCAGATAAATTCTCAAGAACTAATCCCCGAATAAAATCATAGAAATAAAATTTTCAGGTAATTCCCTATAAATCTCCAGGTAAATCGCCAAGAAATAATTCCCAGCTAATATCGTAATAACAAAATCCCCAGGTAATTCTCTGAGTAACAATATCCTCAGGTAAATTTTCGGAAAATAATCCTTAACTAAATCCGCAAGTATTGTTACCTGGGAAATTTTTTACGAATTCATAAAGGAATTAAATTTTTTATTTTTTTATTGTTTACCAACGAAATTACCTACGAAAATGATACTTGGGAATTATTTTCCTAAATAAATCCCTAGGTAATATATTGGCGCTAAAAGGCACCAATTTTACTTGCGGATTTACTTGGGGAAATCGTGTCTGCAGGTAAATATTCCAAAATTTAGGAACTCTGAGATTCTCGCAAGAAAATTCGCAGCAATTATCTGCGGAAAAATATCTCAGGTAAAATTCTCATGTAATTTGAGTTTTTCTTGTAGTGTAAGGTCAATTGAGATGTTTATTTGATAGTGGTGTAAAGAATATTCTATGCTAAATTTTATTAATTTTGTCCAAGATAATATTTTAGATCTCAAGTCCAAACATATGGACTTGTTTTGAAGTAGCGCAAGAAGTCCAAGAAGTTCAAGATTGATTTCAAGAAGCCAAGATTCTTTCCTTCTTAAAATATAATTTATTTTGTTCCTTTTGGAATAAAGATTTTCCTTTTAGTAGTATTCTAGTTTCTTTTCCTTGTAGAATAGGGATTATACTTTCCTCGTCTTTAGTTATTGTATTTCCTTATTATAATAAGAATTATTGTCATCAAAGAAGAGACTATAGGCATATATAAAGGGTTTTCTAGTTTTGTAGAGTAAAATTCACGTTTTTAAAATTTGCCTAGTTTTACAATAGATTATTTTTTTTCTATTTTGTCTTCTTTATTCTTGTGTTTGGTTTCAAGCAAGGTGGTGATAGTCTTTATTTTGTTTTCAATTGCGTGTGGTGTTTCTTTATCACGTTAATTGATTCCAATTGATGACTTTAGGTACTTGTTTAGTTTTTGATCTTTCAAGAACACGTTTCTTGATCTAAATTAGTTCTTTTGATATCAAAGAATCGTAACTTTCATTGAACTGGTGCAACATCAATTTTTACTTGTTTTGAACGAGTAAATAATCTTTCTTATAGTTCAAATCGTCATCTTTCACCTTATTTTTGAATCATCAGATTCCGAGTCCTAAAACTTGAGATACGTTGTTTCTTGAAATCAACCCACGAACCACATTTTCTTTTCAAGAATATGTAGGAACAGGAGATATCAACACAAATTACATCAATGGTTATGATCTAGTTAAATATGAGAGCATTGTTGTTGATGAATTCTAAAAAAGAAATACTTCGATTTCTAAGCTTGATCCAAAGGTACTTGAATTTGATTCTTTTGAAGATTTTTGTGGTACTAAGTCTGACTTTTTTGGGCATATCCCATAAGCACCACATTGACATGGAGAAGTTTAAGATTCCTGAAGATAAAAATAAAATAACTTATGATTATGGATTAGGGTTTGAAAATCTATTTAGGAGGATTTATTGCAGAAATATTGGTACAAAGTTACAATTGAGAAAGTGTGCTTTAGTTCGGCCACATGCTAAGCTTTGTTACAACACGATGAAGCTCTTTGACAAGTTAAAAAAAAATGCAACTTAGAGCCTGGTGAAGATGTGTTCAACCAAATCATGGAAGTTGCTAATCTTGTGCCTTTTGTGGAGCCTTTAGACTCGAGGACGAGTCTTTCTCAACCAGGGGAGAATGATGTAAAAGAAGGGTCTATGTAAAATTTTATTAATTTTGGACAAGATAATATTTTAGAGCTCAAGTCCAAACACATGGACTTATTTTCAAGAAGCGCAAGAAGTCCAAGAAGCTCAGATTAATTTCAAGAAACCAAGATTCTTTCCTTCTTACAATAGGATTTATTTTATTCCTTTTAGAATAAGGATTTTCCTTTTAGTAGGATTCTAGTTTATTCATTGTAGAATAGGGGTTTGCTTTCCTTGTCTTTAGTTATTGTATTTCCTTATTAGAATATGAATTGTAGTCATCAAAGAAGAGACTCTAGGCCTGTACAAAGGGCTCTCTTGCCTTGTAGAGTAAAAATCACGTTTTTAAGGTTTGCCTAGTTAGAGTGCTTTTCTTTATTTTATCTTCTTTATCCTTATTTTTGGTTCCAAGCAAGGTGGTGATAGTTTTATCTTGTTTTCAATTGCGTGCGGTGTTTCTTTATCACGTTATTTGATTCCAAGTGGTGACTTTACGAACTTGTTTAGTTCTTGATCTTTCAAGAACATGTTTCTTGATCTAAATTCGTTCTTTTGATATCATAGAATCATAACTTTCATTGAACTGGTGCAGCATCAATATTTACTTGTTTTGAACGAGTCAATAATTTTTTCTTATAGTTCAAATCGTCATCTTTTACCTCGTTTTTGAACTATCAGATTCCGAGTCCTAAAACTTGAGATTCATTGTTTCTTGAAATCAACCCACAAACCACGTTTTCGTTTCAAGATCTTGATCCTGATCGGTTGGTTCTTTGTTAACTCGAAGATCACATCAGATAATTGTTGACAACTTAACGAGGACGTTTATGTATTTGGCCTTTTTATGAATCAGCATAAGGGATGTTACCACTTATCAGGATGTCTGTAGACAATAGAAACGTAACCTTAGCAATATGACACTTACGGAGGTGCATCCTTTTTTTTCTTTTTTTCTTTGGTCCTTCTAGCAAAGTATAGTTTTCTTGGGAAGTCAAACCTATTGTCAGTTAGTACTAATTTGAAGAAACTGTCTTCTAATTTCATTATTTATTATTGAATTGCTGTATCAATAAATGAAAACCCCTAGGAGTGTTTCCCGTTATGTGGAAACAATTAGAGAAGAACTATCCAAGTTGGCTATTAAATTATGGTAAAAGTCAGTTGGACTCGACTCTAACTCAATATTGTAAGAAACTTGATTAGATTCAAGCTCAAATGGCACTAGAATAGGTTTAGTTTAACTCACCAGACTCAGTTCAGCTCACCTCGCGTCCATATTTATGGCTAGATTGAATTAGTTTGGTGAACCAACTCCTTCATTTAAGGTTAATTTGAGAGATTAAATTTTATAATAAATTATATAAGTTATTTTAGTCATATAATATTTTTATACTTAACCAAGTAAAAGTTAATACAAAATGTTAAACAAAAAAAAAAATTTATATTCGTAAACCCTTTTGTTATTGGTAATGGAGTAGACGTGAACGGACAGGCCAATAGAGCTGACAAGAGGCATGGCGGGAAAATTGATGTTTCCGAATCCGGATCCGCAAATTCTCATTAGCACAATATTTTGAAACCCAATCGAAAATTTCCCCAACTTTTTTAGCTCCAAATATACCCGCGCTTTCCAAAAGAAAATTCCCGCCATCTTTACTAGTATTCAATTCCGGATCTGACAAATATGGTCCAATTCACTCATTTGCAACACTTTTCCTTCAAAACAATTTTCTCTCTTCAACACACTGACAAAACCTACAGATCACTACCATGGCTTCCGAGAAACAAACCCTAGAAGAGAAGAAACAACAAAAAGAAACAAACGAGCAAGAAGAAAAGGTTAAACAGAACAGTGAAGAAAGAAAAACTGATGATGATATGGATGAAACAGGAGAAGACAGAGAGGGTGCAGGGGAAATGGAAGTAGACAAACAAGAGGAAGAGGAAGAATCTGAGGAGGAAGAGGAAAAGGAAAAAGTTGTGAAGAAAGGAAAAGATAGAGGTGCAGTTAAAGAGGAGGAAGGGAAGAGGGATAATATGGATTCGCCCACAACACCAGGTTCAAGGCCATCGAGGGAAAGGAAAACAGTGGAGAGGTATTCTGAGTCTTTGGGTGCTAGAGTTTCTGCAACTAAGCCCTTGTCTATTGAGAAGGTATAATTCAAAAATATTTCCTTTTAGAAATTCATTTCATTTATGCTTTTATTCAATCAATTATACTTCAATCTGAAACTACCTGTGACCTATGGTTGCCAAATCCAAGAGTCAAGCTAGCTAGAAATATGAGCATTGTTTATATTCGTGACCAGTTGAATGTCTGCCTCTGTTCTCTTTCGGGTTATGTTGATTCATTTACTTTTTCCTTGTCAAGTTTGGTTTTTGTTGATTTGTTGAGGAAGATGGAAAAGGTGGTACATTAAGTTCTAACTAGAGTTAATTTCTCAATTGGTCATTTAGCCTAAGCCAAGAACAGAGTAAAATCACTTCTTTGGTCACTGTGAATTATCCAGGTTAACCCAACCCTCTCAGAAAATCATTTCAGCCAGAAAATCAACTTTCAATACTGGAAATAAGACATGGCATGCCATGTCATTCACTAAACTTTCAAATTTCTCAAATAGTTATCTAACTTATGAAATGCCATGTCATGTGTTGGCCGGAGAGACCTCACAGATTTATTCCTTGGGCTATGTAGTCATCGAGCCCAAAAGTGTGTGTACTATGTGCACATTTTTCTTGTATAATACTTCACATTTCTCTTTTTAGTTTGGGATTTGTCTTAAGGTGTCATATGCTATGTGTACTTTGCTTTTCTCTCCCTTTTTGGTTTAAAATTTGACTAAGGTGTCATATGCACCCCCATTCATTGGAAGCTTATTAGGCTAGAAGTTTGTTAGTCTTTCTCTTTGACTTGTCCTTGTCAGCTTGCCTACGTCATGGGTGTCACATAAACCCCTATTTAGAGACTTAGCGTTCTTGTTGAAGTTTGTCCCACTATCATGTCGCAGAATCAGGCTTTGATACCACCTGTCATGGTTAAGTCCTACTGCCTAGGTATTGATTGCTTTCGCTCTACCCCATTGGCCCACTGCAAGGTTTTTTGCGCCTCATGGTTTTATATAACTTGTTACAACCCAAGCCCAATTGTTTGACTTTTTTTTTAATGTTCTCAGGCCTTTCGACCTCATAGTTTTGTCCCCGTGGGCTTTGACCTAAAAACCGCATCAACAGTTAAATCCTGAATAACCCTTATATGGTCTCGAACATTCCCTCTCATTTTGTTGTTCAATTTGCCTATGGCAAGTTCCACAACGAACTACTTTCAAGTTCAACTGCCAGCAGTCTTTGTGTTGTTGCACTCATCTCTCTTAGGGACTCAGGTCTTCATATTGGGTTTGACTCACAATCATATCAGGGATGTATCGGCTTTGATACCACCTGTCATGGTTGACGCCCAATTCCTAAGGTATTGTTTGCTTTAACCTGGCCCCTCTGAGCCACCTCAAAGGTTTTGGGTCTCACAGTTTTGCCTCTTTGGGTTTAAAGGTGCCTTCTTTGTCAAACCCCAAACTCTCCCTCATATGGTTCCTAACTTTCCCCTTCCAACGCCTAAGGCAAGTTCCACAATGAACTCCCTTTTATGCTCTAACTGCCTAGGGTCCAGAGGTTGTTACATCAATTTATCTTCCATCTTGATGTGTAAGGTAATTTGGGCATAGAAAGAGAAAAGGAAAAACTGACCAAGTTCCTCATAACATTCATTTCTGATATCATTGCCACTATCCCTATACCTTTTCAATTTGTTGAGGGTTGGTCTCCTATCCCTTCTTTGTATTGCTTCAACTAAGAAATTGGACAAATGGGACTAGAAAATTTATTTGGCACTATCAAGGGTTCAAGCTGTGTAAATAGCTGCGTACAATATACTCTTGTGTTCCGACCCTTCTCCGGACCCTGTGCATAGCGGGAGTTTAGTGCACTGGGTTGCCCTTTTTTCTTTTCCAAGTTTCTTATTTCCGAGTAGTGAATAAATGCTACTGAAATGTCTTATTTTGATTTTTACCATTAATGCCAGCTTTTGTCATTTTCTGGAATCCCTCTTATTATTTTGGTGTTAAATGCAGGGTAGAGGTACTCAACTGAAGGATATCCCAAATGGTACTTTTTTTCTTTTGCTGAATCACTTTCTCCCCTTATTGGATTCAGACTTTTCTTAGTTTGCTTTTATGTTATACAGGTGGCTAATTAGATTTTGCAGCAGTTGTCTGCTTTTTTTTTTTTTTTTTTTTTTTTTTTTTTTTTTTTTTTTTTTGTTTGTTTGTTTGTTTTTGTTTTCTAAAAACTTTGATCAGTAATGAACTCTGCTAGGTTACCGGTGCTTTGTTTTATTTATCCCTGACAAGACCATTTCTTTTAAGGAGGAAAGGAACTGATGAGCCTGTTAAGTATTTAAATGCATTTGTTGTACCTTTACTGTTTATAATCTCCCTAAGAGCAAAGGACAGTAAGCATATTTTGCAGAAAAGTTAGATTTGCTTAACAAATTCCACTTGACTCACTGGAATGATGAATAACCTAGCTCAAGTACAGCAGTTTTTTTCCCCTTTTTCAATTAACTAGGTATGATCTTGGTTATCAAAAAATAATGAGGTATGATCTTATAAAGAATTTATATTTGCGTATCTGTCACCTCATACTGCATACAGCTTGGTTATCAGCTAATGCTCAGATTGACTGACTGGTAACTGCATAATTGTCATACTTGATATCCAACATTCTTCATAATCTGTCGTCTCATACTATCATTATCTTTAGTCTTCTTTTTATGCCTTTGCCCTTTCCTGGCACTTGGTTCTAGAAAAGGATTCGTCAATATAACCTACAAATACAAAAGGATCTATTAAACCAAGTGGGAAAGGAGTGGTTAGAGCTGCTAAATGATTTAGGTTTACTCCTCCCTTGTAGTCTGCTTATCTGTATTATGTACTAGCAACTTTGAAGTATTCTGTCTTTGAGTTGTGCTCATGGAATTTATTTTGTGGTTACTTTATATACGTTTTATCTTCCTTTGCCTTTCTTTTGGTTGAGTAAATTTGTAGAACCTACATTGTGTGAAAATAATTCCATTGACAGTTATGATGTTTTGAAATATTTCAGTGGCATATAAGTTGTCCAAGAGAAAACCAGATGACAACCTGCAAATACTTCACAGTATTCTTTATGGCAAGAGAACAAAGGTAAAGTCTTCCTCACACTAAAATCTTTTAATCCCTAAACACACTTTCCGTCTCTCTTCAATTCACAATCATGTATTTTTTGGGTTATGATAATGTGCTTGGCAATTGGTTTTTGCTTCTTAACCTTGTAAGTCTTAAACAAAGTCCTTGCCTTTGCAGGCACACAATCTGAAGAAAAACATAGGGCAGTTTTCTGGATATGTTTGGGTTGAAAATGAGGTAGTTAGTCTCTCCCCTTTCTAAATCTTGTGATTGCATCATTGTTCTTCTTCATAATGTGACATATGGGCATGGGATACACACAAGTGTTAACATCATTATCCAGTGATTTCATGATCTGTGAATGACATATGCATCTTGAGTATTTTCTGCTTCTTTCTCAAGCAGGAAAAACATAGGTCAAAATTGAAAGAGAAGCTTGACAAGTGTGTCAAAGAAAAGCTACTGGTTTTTTGTGATATACTCAATATCCCTGTCAGTAGATCTGCAGCAAAGAAGGCATGTATTATCAATGGCTTCACTGTTTGCTGTGTGATTCCCTACAGCAAATATATGTTTTGCTAATCATTGTTGTTGCATGTTTCAATTTGCAGGATGAACTCTCTGTGAAGTTAGTAGACTTCCTGGAATCTCCTCATAGTACGACTGACTCGTTGCTTGCTGAGAAGGAACAGGTAATCCGATCCTGCATTTTCTGCTTCCTCTTACTCAATAGTGTTGCCTTTTGTTTTGACTTTGGTATCTTTTTGCTAATAGTTTATCTTATGTAGCTATTCTCATTATTATGTTTCATTTTGATCTCAGAAAAGTAAGAAGCTAAAAAGGAAGGGCACAACTTCCAAAAGCAAAGGTTCATTGGATAAAGCTACAGGAAAATCAGCAAAGGTTAACTTTTTTTTAATCTGTTCTTTTCTCTTCAAAGAAAATGACAGCCTGATACTGCAATAGTTATTGGTTCTGCAATATTATTACTTGAACTTCAAATAAGTAATGGGTTATATCATTCTCTTTATGTTTATACTCCTGTCTTGATGTGTTAAGGGATCTGGCTGCATTTACACAATGCCACAATTAGGGGAGTCTTTTCTCTCTGCACCAATTGGTTTCTCAATGTTGTCTGTTATCTCTATTTTATTCGCATTACTAGTGTGATTACTGAGCTTGTCCATCGGGAAATGATTTTTTTTTTCCAAAATTGCCTTTCCTCTTTATTGCAAGGCTAGGCTAGGTTAAGGCTGTTCATCATGGCATTATAGCCTCAATTGTGATCATGACATTACCTTATTCGAACTTACAAATGTTTTGTTCCCTTGGTTCTGGGGTGACTCTATGGACGGCATTACCTTATTCAAACTTACAAATGTTTCTTTTCTTGGTTCTGGGGTGACCTATGGACCCATGTTTTGCAATTGTCTCAGCTACTGCGACATAATAGAACTGCAAGATGTAAAATATGTAAAAGCAATAAGACAAGAATGTAGCTACTTGGCTTAATATTGAGATCTGCCTTATTTGCTAATACAAGCTTTATTGGTTGCTTGAATTCACACGTTCTGTAAGCAGCAATAAGTGCTTTGCGTCAATATTTGAAAAACTAAATGCATGTATGGTGGAATAATTGTTATGTGTTGATCAATTTGTCAATTCTAACTCCTGGCACTTGGAGCCTACTCAACTATAACTTGCTTAAAAAATTTGGGCTCTTACTCAATCGCATCATGTTCTTAATTATTTGCCATCATTTTTATCCCAAAAAGTAATTATTTGTGGTAGGGTTTCAGCGAGCTTACATTCATACTTCTTTATCAAATTAGTGTTGAGTCTATTGAGTTGAGGAAGCTTATTTACACATACAATGAGTGAAAGAGTGTTTTATAGCTTCCTTTTAACTATGTTAGAAACAGAAACTATGGCATTTGCCTAGTTAAATTTGTGATGGATCCAATATTTGCAAAGGGATAAACTTGGAGTTCAGTGCTGGTATCACATGACAAATTGTGCTGTAGTTTAACTTTTATGTAAATGGACTATGGCTGCTCGTGGCTAGCAAAACTTGAATGCCTCTCTATCTCTTCCTTTTCATTTAGGCGATGTTTTTCCTGCCTTATCTTGCTGAAAGTGTGATTCTTCTCTATTGTTTGCAGCAGAAGTCTGAAGTTGGGAAGAAGCGGAAGCAGTCAGCAGAAATGGAGGAAGAAGAAGAAGCTGATGAACCGTCAAATACCAGAGATGAATCGGGGGATGACAATGATGATGAAGAAGCTCATGAAGTAGGAAGTGATGAAGAAGAGAGTGGTTTAGAGAAAGGCGAAGAGGAAGAAGTGAAAGAAGGGGAAGAGGAGCCAAAGAAGTCTAATGGGAAGATTTCTTTAAAGGAGGATTCTGGAAGCAAAGCTACAGAGAAACCCAAGGCCGTGAAAAAGGATAACCCTGCTAAAGAAGTAGGAAGTGACGATGACGATGAGGAGGCTCATAAAGTAGGAAGTGATCAAGAAGAGAGTGGTTCAGAGAATGAGGAAGAGGAAGAGGAAGAGGAAGAGAAACCACAGAAAAAGAAATCTAACGGGATGATTTCCTTAAAGAAGGATTCAAGAAAAAAAGCTACAGAGAAATCCAAGGCTGAGAAAAAGGACACCCCTGCTAAATCCCCCAAAAGCTCAAAAAATTCTTCCAAAGTGTCTTCAAATAAAGCTTCCAAAAGAGGTGCTTCTGGTGCTGATTCACTAGCTGAATCTAAGAAACAAAAAGTCGAAAAGAAAAGTCAAAAAGAAGAAGATGATTTTGTGAAGGAAAATGCTTCAAACAAGAAACAATCAACCAAGTCTCTCGCTAAGGTTTCTGAAAAGGAGGGTGAGTAACTTTCTGTTTATTTGTTGGTGATATATATGTGCTTTTATAAAAAAAAATCAATATTTTTGGCCTTCATTTTTGAGATATTGGTTTGAGGAATGGCATTTCATCATACAATATGCAGTGGCCCTTCAGTATCTTCACTCAACTACCTGTGATATGCCATTCTATTGAACTTCTTTTAATATGTCGGTGATCATCCAAGATCTTATGTTCTCCTATAATGTTTAGGATTCAGGGATAAATGTACACGTAAATTATCACAGAACAATTCTGAACAGGAAAAGGAACAATTCTGAGTAGGAAAATGTACATGTTTTTGACTGTTGTTTCAAAATCTTCTGGAATAGGAAAAGGAAAAAGTGTCAAGAAGGCCAAAACAGACCCCAACAACGAAGAAATTCATGCAGCAGCAGTACATATTCTGAAAGAAGTGGACTTTAATTCTGTAAGTGATATCTTGCCATTGCATTAAATACGCATTAACTTTTCTTACTAATCAGACTTGTTGCTCTCTTCAAAATGCAGGCAACCTTATCTGATATCATCCGGAAACTAGGTATGTCTTAGGAAACACTCGTTTCTAACACTAATGGTTGTGCTCTTTTATTTGGTGATCACATAACTGGGGTTCATTTCAGGTAGCCATTTCGGTGTAGATTTGATGCATAAAAAGGCAGAGGTGAAGGCTATAATCACTGATGTAATAAATAACATGAGTGATGAGGAAGAAGGGGATGACCCTGAGGCTGGGGATGATGAAGAAAAAAATGAAGGTGATGAAGAAAAAAATGAAGGTGATGATAGTGATGCTTAATTTATGAGTCAAGTAGAAGGATATATGGTACCATACAGTTGTTTTAATTTATAATTTTAGTTGGTTATAAGATGGTGATCCCAATGGGTTGGTCTGTAAGCATTTGTTTGTTTTTGCTTATTCTTTAGAGTTAACCTTAGCATTTCTTTTAAAGCAAATCTTGCTCCTTCTGTTATTGAAATAGTTGTCAATTTATTCTATTTATATTTATTTATATCTGTCTATATCTAGACTTATATCTATCTATCTATACTATAATAATATTATCTATCTATATCTATATCTATATTATATTAAAAATGGGAACCCCTTAATTTAAAAGTTAAATTACTATATTACCCTTATTATTTACTAAATACCCTATTTTTATAAATAAAAAAAATCTACGCCTACTAACAGCCGCTATACTAAGCTTCATACTCATTCACTAACCGTCGCAACTATTCATTCACAATCCTTAACTCTTATATTACTGATGAAGCCCGAAATCAGAGCATGCTTCCACAAATTGGAATCCTTTAGCGTTGGAACTTATAAGGGATATTTTTAAAAATAGCCAGCTTTACAACTGGTCGTTCAAAATAGCCTAATTTCAAAAGTAATTGAAATTTAGCCACTTTTTATGTAAAGATAAATCTGAGCGTAGACACTGTTTAGAACCCGAAAAATACTCCAGTATATTATGTTGGAGTTTCAGCATAAGTATACTTGAACTCCAGCATATTATACTGGAGTTCCAGGATAGTATGCTGGAACTCCAGTATAATATGATGGAGTTCCAGCATAAATACACTAGAACTCCAGCATAATATATTGGAGTTCCAGCAAGTATAATGGTCCAGTATAATATACTGGAGTTTGGAGAGCACCAGTGCTCCAGTCTCCAGTATATTATACTGGAGCCAGCAAAGTATACCGGTCCAGCATAATATGCTGGAGTTCATACACAAGTGCACCGAACTCCAGTATATTATGCTGGACCGGTCTCTATTGCACCACAACTGTGGCTATTTTTCGTTGACTTGGTAACCGCTGGCTATTTTTGATTGACCAGTCCGAAAACTGGCTATATCGTGCAATTTTGGCAACTTATAAAGGTTCTGAAGCTTGAAAAGTCAATATCAATTTTACTTAGAGGGTGTTTGGATTGGCTTTTAAGCTGGTCAAATCAGCTTTTAAGCTCTTTTTAGCTTTTTTCAGTGTTTGGCAAAGTCAAAAAGTGCTTAAAATAAGTTAAAAACTGCTTAAAACAAGCCAAAAACAATAAGCTGGCAATCCCAACTTACTGCTTTTTGGCTTAAAAGCTATTTCTGTTGAAAAGCTACTTTTTTTAAGCCAATCCAAACGGGCTCTTAATTAGCCAGTGAGATGCGACGGGAAAGGAAAAACCACAACATTCAACCTCAGATGGGCAATAATCAGCAACTTTGAGAAATACGCACATTAGCAGTTTAGCATCATCGTTTTCCTTTTAACCGGAAAACACCGATCAAACCACCCAATTATTTGGGACAAGAGTAATGGTTATATGCTTCCAGAAATCATGATTTTTCTACACAACACATGAAATTGAAATTTGGTGATGATAGGAGAAATAAAATATCTCCTCATTTATCCAAAAACACCAAGAAAACTTGTATTATCGGTTCTTATGAATTTTTATATTCTCCAAAGCTTTCGAAAAATGCATTTTAGCGTCATAACATGGAGCATGATAGTTGACCCTTCTCTGGCTGTTAATATGCCAGTTGACGAAAAAAAAATATAGAAAATAAAAAGTTACTGGTGACTACTTGAAAAATACGGAGAAGGTGCCGCAAATCGCCCTCTACATCCTTTATATAAAAAAAAAAGTGGCTGCAAAGTGCAAACTTGGTTCCACTTTCTTCAACTCATTCTTAATATTCTACCTTGTATGATTTATGAAATTTAAATTTTAGAAAATATACGGGTGAATGTCCATTATCTGATGATATGAAAAATATATCACATTGTGTAACATATTATGATTATTAATAACATCTGTTTAAAGGTTTTATACTTTTATTATTCCTTTGGTAACATGCAAATTAGTTAGGCTTTTTTGATGGTTATTAGTGTTAGATAAAGCTCTCTTACCTTTCGGCAATTTCACTAACTCATATGTGCCATTCTCATGGAGTGACTTCATCTCATCTTCCATCACTTCGATCCAATGATCTTTGTGATTATCTTGCATGGCTTCATCATAATTCTCAGGTTCTCCCATGTCAGTTAAAAGTACATACTCATCAGGAGGATAGCGCATGGATTTTTGCTTCTCCTTGTAGATCTTCTAAGAGAGGTTTCAGGAGCATTCGTAGTAGTTACCTGTGCAGTTGCTGATCAACCACAATTTCATCAACTGGAGCATCCATAACATCTATACCATGATGATCATTTTGATCTTGATCACTATCTCCATCATTGTCTTGGGTTCCTTCATGTGCAATAAGTGCCTTAGCAATTGAAACTGGATTAATATCAACTAAGCTCTCATTACTCTGAGAATCTATCTTCTCAGCTTTGTCAATATCTTCAATAGTTTGGTCTTCAAAGAATATTGCATCACGATTTCTAATAAGTTTATTGTCAACTGGATCATAAAAACGATACCCAAACTCATCTTGACCATAACCGATAAAGATGCACTGCTTAGTTTTGACATCCAGTTTTGATCTCTCATCTTTAGGAATATGCACACAAGCTTTATACCCAAAACTCTCAGGTGATCATAAGAAACATCTTTGGCAAACCAAACTCCGCCTGGGACATTACCATCCAAAGCAACAGTAGGAGACAAATTAATAACATAGGCAACAGTATTAAGTGCTTCCGCCCAAAATGTATTTCGAAGTTTAGCCTCTGAAAGTAAGCATCTAACTCTCTCAACTAGAGTTCTATTCATCCTCTCTGCCAAACCGTTTAATTGAGGCGTCTTGGGCGGAGTTTTCTGATGACGAATTCCTTGTTCCTTGCAATAGTTATCAAAGGGACCACAATATTCACCACCATTGTCAGTGCGAATATATTTTAATTTCTTCCCCATCTGTCTCTCAGCTAAGGCCTGAAATTCCTTAAACACGCCAAGTGCTTGATCTTTAGATTTCAAAGAATACACCCAGAGCTTACGAGAATGATCATCAATGAAGGTCACAAAGTAAAGTGCACCACCTTTTGACTTTACTTTAAAAGGACCACACAAATCAAAGTGTACTAGCTCCAATAAATCGGGCTTTCTTGAGGGAGGATGACTATGAAAGGAAACCCTTTTCTGTTTGCCAGCTAAACAATGGATACACCTTTTCAGCTTTGCTTGTTTCAATCCAGAAAGCAAACTTTTCTTAGCCAAACACGTAATCCCCCTATCGATCATATGACTCAATCTTTTGTGCCACAATTCTGATAAAGTATCACCTTCCACCATATTTATTGAGTCATTAAGAATAGAGCCCTGTGTCACATATAAATAACCAGACTTGACTCCGCGAGCCACTACTTACGAGCCCTTAGTGAGCTTCCATTGGCCATTAAAGAGGGCATTATGGTAAGCTTCATCGTCTAATCTTCCTGCGGAGATCAAATTGAAAGGAAAGTCTGGAGCACGCTTGACATCTTGAAGAATTAACGTTGAACCATTATTAGTTTTCAAACAAACTGTGCCAACACTAAACACCTTAACTTTATTGGCATTGCCCATCTTTAACACTCCAGAATCAACAGCAGTATAAGATGAGAAAAAATCTTTTCTTGGTGTGACATGTGAGGTAGCTCCAGAACCATAATTGGTTTTCCTATTTCATGAAGGAAAGGAAAACATATTTACCATAATTGGAATTTTCCTTTTTGTAGAAGGAAATTATAATTCTCCTATATTTGGCTAGTCCTTTTTCTTGTAGGAAAAGGTTTGGACTTCTATAAATTGAGGATCCTTCCTTCTCATTCAGTAGCATCCACAATGTAGCCACATGGGGTTTGAGAGTCGTGTTTAGGGGGAGAACTTTACGGGACAAGTGTTAGTGTGCCACTTGTGTTTGCCTCTTCGTGAGGTTGTTCTCTCGATATTTTGTACTCTCTTTTTATATAGTGGATTGCTCATCTCCGCTGTGGACGTAGGTCAGTTGACCGAACCACGTTATATGTTTGTGTCTTTTTTGGTAGATTTCTCTTTTGTTGTTAGATTTATCGTCGTTCAAGGGTTGCTTGCTAGCTTTCGCATGACACCTGATTTTTTCGGTCCTAACAATTAGTTCTAGATGATGAAGCAGATAATTTGCGTGGACAAGAAATATGAAACTATACAAGCACAAATGGATTGATAAGTGTCTATTTTCATTGTCTTGTGATTTATTCTTGAGAAACTAGATAGAGGATAACGTTTTTCTTATAGAATGAAATATGCCTAATTAAAAATGTTGAAAGTGAGGCAGCTTTTGGGAACAAAGAAAGCTGATATAGAATCCTATTTCTTTTGGCTTTCTTGTGAGTTATACCATGGCTTTGGATGGAACATCAGTCACTTGTTTTTTTGTACAATACCAAGCTAGAGAATGACTCAGTTGTGTGGCCCAAATATAACCAAAATAACCTATGATTAGTGGAGTTCAAAGTGAGGGCTCGAAAAGAAATTAAAATCACAAAATTCAGGTTATATTTTATTAATCCAACTTATTTATTACTTATGTATATTTACTCTATGTATTTGTGAAACTTATATTTATAATTGTAAGGATAAATATTTATTACTGTAATAAGTTAATATCTATTATGCATACATTTGGAAATTACGTTTCAGTTACCATTAGTTATTCTCATGCCAAATTAATTTTAATATAATAGTTGACATATATATGTTACATGCATGAAATTATGAGAAAATTAATTCATTCTTCTAGAGTGATACCATTAAAAAACGCCACTAACACAAGGAGAATGTATCTCCTTGTGTAGTCATGAAAATCACTATGTCAATGACTATAAATGGAGAATGGCAACAAAGCAAGCCAATGTGGAGCATTTTTCCATATCCCAAGAGGTTGAGAAGACTAGAGAAGTAACTATAAAAAGTTGATTGCAATAAATAAAAAAAATTCATTTAGCCTTAAACATTTCGGAAATGAGATACAATCTTGTGGGGGGAGTCTTCTGAAGGAAATGTATAGTTTCTTTGAGCATCTCCCTACTCATTAAATGTTG